CTCATTATTTCCAACTAGTGTTCCATGACCTGCCTGCTCTCAGTCCTGGGATCTAAAACCTAAAGATAAAACGTGAACTGACTGAAAACGCTAAAGCTACCAATCGCCAAGCATAATTGTGTCTTTGTAAACCTAAAATCCTTTTAAGAGCCCTTTGTTCCCAACATTTAAGGGGACTTTGGTGTAAAAAGCCCGAGTTTAGTTTCAGGACTCTGTATCAAATGCAAGTATTCCTGGAGCTGTTACGGTCAAATGTTCCTAAATTCGTTACTAAAACTGACTCAGAGAACAGAGAAATCGGGGGCAGTTAATGGCACTCAGATGTGCATTGTGCACGAGGGAACTACAAACTCTTGTTTAGCTGCTCTTGAGAGTGCACACAATAGCCAGACCCCAAGGGCTTGTAGCAATGCTCACTCTTAGGCAGGTATCTGGGAACAGCTGCTGAGGCAAGTTGGTTGTTAGTGCGTCAGGAGCCATGCCTGTTAGGATAAGAGGGACAGGCATAATGGAAGATTAAACTGAGTTTTTGCCACGCATGGCGGGGGTGGGGGGGGGGACATGGAGCTGGAAAGGCCTTTCACCATTATCCTGAAAGAGATAAGGAAAACTAGCTTGTACCCAACATGGATCAACCAAACATATGGGCTATTCCTAGGGTTGGGGCTTGGCCTGGCACAAGCCAATAGCTGTAGATGGAATTTTCTGTCCCACCTAGTCCCACAGCTATTTAGTCCCATATAAACACACAAAGGCTTATATTAATTATAAACTGTTTGGCCTGTGATTCAGGCTTCTTGTTGGCTAGCCCTCTCTTAATTATTAACCCATTTCCATTAATCTGTGTATCTCCACAGGGTCTTGGCTTACAGGTGATGCCCAAGCCTCTTGCTTCTTCAGCAGCTACATGGTGTCTACTACCTTTCTCTATCCCTGTTTGAATTTCCTGCCTGGCTAAATCCTGCTTCTCCATTGACTGAAACATCTTTATTCATCAACCAATAAGAGAAACATATATTCATAGTGTACAGAAGGACCTCCCCCATCAAATAGCTAAGCAATTCCTAGAGTAAGCCTGCCTGTTGTGTTAGCTTGGAGCTAGCACTCTGGAAGCTGAGGGAGTGGGTACCTTGGTTGTAGAATGGAACTTCAGAATTGCATTGTCCACTCCACCCACCACAGCTCACCTTTGCCTCCTGTCACTCTGCTGCAGTCAACAGGCAGAGTGTGTCCCCTCCAGCCTGCAGACTTCCCCAAGAGTCTAAACTACCCCCTCTAGCAGCTGCTATTGTGGAATTATGTGGTTCAAGACTGGTGTTAGGGAGTGCTGAGATCAAACTCATGTCTTTCAAGTGGAGTCCTGGGTTTTGCAGAGCAGACCTACCTAACTGTTTTAGAGCCCTGTCCTTTGACAACCAGTCCTGGAGGCTCCTGACCAGCTTTCCCTATCTTTTTCCCGAAGGTGGGAGCAGACCCTCTGACTTCCACATTTTATTCTGACTTGCTCTCTTGATTTTCTTCTCCAAAATGTCAACCTCCCTTGAGGCAGTCGCCATCCAGTTCCACTGTCATTAGAGGATCAATTTCTACAAACTTTGAAAGCACCAGGTACCAGCTAACTAGCCTTCCTCCTGCTAAGATACCAGCTAACTACCCTTCCTCCTGCTAGGATACCAGCTAACTACCCTTCCTCCTGCTAGGATACCGTTCTCAGTTGTATCACCATTGGTGAAAGTTTTAACAACTAGGTATGTATTAATTTCTTGGCCTATGCCCAACAGATGACCCCAGCAATGGCTTAGACAATGAGAAGTCTATGCTCTGAGTCCAGAAAAGCATCTGAAATTGGGCTGTGGTGGAGGCTATGCTCTGCCTGCAGGCTGCAGAAGAGACTACTTGGTGACTCCATGCATCCCTTATTTTGTGACTACAAAGCCCTGTCCTCTCCCTCCATCTTCACTGGGCCTTATTCCCTATGTTTGTTTCCTGTCTGCCATCAGTCATCAAACTTCAAGCCCAACTTAAATGCAGACTGCTTTATCTCAAGCACTGACAGAAACAACCCTGTTTCCAATAAGATAATATTCTGAAGTTTGAAGCAGTTAAAATTTTGGAGGTAGTCTACTGATGAGTTTACTTGCGCCCCGCCTGTAACTATCAACTCTAAGATTCCATGTGACTACTCACACACTGCTAAAATTATCCAGCTTCTCTAGGAAATAGGTGTGAGACTGGAGGTTAGCATCCTGGAAAGCTGTCTCCTTGGTGAAATACTTTTGAGTACACACACACACACACACACACACACACACACAGAATTGCTGCTCTTTAGTCTCTGTTATTCAGAACTAAAAAGCAAAGGAAATATCTGAAGCACAATATTTAAAGAGGTACCTACTCTCCAGCAATAAGCCTATGCCTCTATGATCCTGTGAGTGAAGGTCTCCTTTAAGTGACACGCCTCTAGACACTTGCTTGACTCACCTGGGTCCTGACTTCAAGAGGGGACATTGCTAACTTAAGCAGTTGCTTGCCAAAGTGCTTCTCAACGTGTTTGAACCAATTTTCATTCTCATCATCAACATCCGAGAGTATCAATTCTGTCATCTTCTTCAATTTGACATCAGACTTTAGTTTTTGTGAGTCTGATGGATGTGAACCAGTATATTGACTTATACCACGTTTCTTACTAATAAATTTGGGCATATTGTACGTTTAATAACTGTCAGGCTTCATTTTTGTTGGTTTGTTTTCATAAACTGTACCTATTTTTCTGTTCTACTGTCTTATCACTGATTTATGAAGTGCATCTATTAGTTCACCTCTCCTGTGTTATATAGTAGTAGATATTTTCTGCTTTGATCTTTTTGTTTGTTTGCTGGCTTGCTTGTTTGTTTGACAGGACAGGGTATTGTTGTGTAGCCTATGCTGGCCACTGGCCTCACTCATGATCATCCTGCCTCAGAATCCGAGTGGTGGGATTACAGGTACACACCACCATGTCAGGTGTTGTCTTCCTTTGTGGCATTTGTATTCTATAGTCTATTTACATTTTAATACATTCAGATCATCTATTGCTATCTTTTTGACTGTGTCTTTCTTTCCCAACGATGGTATGAAGATATTTGGGGGGCTAGAGACAAGACTCAGAGGTTAAAAGCACTGGCTCTTCTTCCTTAGGACGGGGATTCAATTCCAGCACGCACATGGAAACTAATGACTGCTAGGGGATCTGACGCCCTCTTCTGGCCTCTGTGGGCACTGCATGTGCACATGTTGCTCAGACATCTACTCAGCCAAATGCACATATAAATCAAATCCCCCCAAGTTTTAAAAAGATATTTTTATGAACTTTATTATAAAGTTCCAAAGTTTTGTTATTCCTATGGAAACATTTAATATCATTGAAATGTATTTATGTACAGCATCAAGTTTTCCATATGAATACCCAGTTTCCATAAAGATAATCAGAAAAATATGCTTGAAGAGTTTCCATAAATTTTGACTCAGGAATTACATTTATTGAAATTTATTCCAAAGTAAGAAAGTGATATTTGCAAAGACTTGCTGGGATGGTAATCATATTACCTATCTACATGAGTGACTTATAGACAATCTACATAACAGGGTGAGGATAAGGAAATAAACTCAGTTACAGTTGCTTGATATAAAACAAATTCACACACATAGAAAATGATTCTAGAAAAAACGGAAGGACATTATTAAATGGAAAGAACTAGGTAAACAAATATTATTTTTGAAAAATATAGATACAAAAGAGCTGAAATATTTTAACACGTTAATTATCTGTAGACTATGAAGTCATGAATAATTGTTTTTCTTTTTCTAATGAGTATTTTTCAATTATTATGTAATAAATTTTACTATCTTTTTTTGTTGTTGCTCTAATTATGAAGGACAGGGTCTTTTTTTGTGGCTGTGAATAGCTTGGAGTTCACATCATAGACCCGGTTGGTTTGAACTTCCAAATGCTGGGACTTCAAACACAAGTTGCCACGCCCTGCCTGTGTATCATATCCTAAGAGCAAAAGTAGAAAATTGCTTTAAAACAATCAAACCAATAATTTCATTTAGCAAAGCACTCTTGTGCTTAATAAATAAATCAAACCAAAGCCCAGAAACTTTTTAAAAATTGTATTAGATCTTTAAGATGTTTATACAATGTGTTTTGACCGTATTCACCCACCCCAACTATTCCCAGATACACCCCCTCTCCCTCCTCACCCAAACTGATGTCCCTTTTTTCCTTAAACCCGTCAAGACCAATGCGTGTTAGTGTAGGCATCGTGTGCATGCAGCGTTCTTGGGATGCAGAAGAAGACATTGGACCCCTGGAACTAGAGTTACTGAAGCCTGTGAGCCACTGAACTAGGATCCTCCACAAAAGCAATAGTGTTAGCAGCTGGGACATCTTTCCAGCCCGAGAGAGAGAGAGAGAGAGAGAGAGAGAGAGAGAGAGAGAGAGAGAGAGAGAGAGAGAGAGAGAGAGAGAGAGAGAAATGCCCAACTTGTTTTTACTTCCTGCAAGACATGCTAAAAGGATGATTCCTACAAAAATTCAATCCTTGAAAAATTATACAAATTATCAACTACATTTTCAAGTTTTTAGAATCTTGAAAGTTATTTTTAAAAAGCCAGGATGAACTTAATAGCTGCTATATGTCTGGTGATGTGCTGGTCCACATTGACAAACAGCTCTCCAGAGGAAAAATGAGAATTTGTACCAATCGTCCTGATTCCTACTATGCCTGGTTGTAAACTACTACCTTGAAATCACTAAAGATGAGTTTGGAAAAAGAGATATACAATCACTTTCCCCTGAATGACCATGTCTAGGATACTTCTGTTTGTACCTAGTGCCCATATGTGTGTGTGTGTGTGTGTGTGTGTGTGTATACTAGCAATTTCAGATATTGTGCATTTATTTATGGAAACTTAACCTTATGGATTGCATTGGAGCTCTTTATTTTTCTCCACAGCAATGTTTCCTGATCTTGCTTCTTAAGAAACTACTAATCAGGTATGTATTCTTCCAAATTATGTTTTTGAACATTACACACATGTAATTGTTTTGTTGTGCTGTTACTGTTTTGTTTTTCCAAAGAGGATCCCTCTGTGTAACTCTGACTCTCCTCAAACTTACATTGTAGACCAGGCAGGTCTCAGACTCACAGAGATTCACCTGCATCTGCCTCCTGAGTGATGGGATTAAAGACAAGCACGTCCACTGCCCACATGCACATATGTTTAATACAATGTGTAATTACTCTTTCAATTTTTAAATTTATTTTTATGTGTATGAGTACTTTGCCTGCGCGCGCTCATGTGTGTGTGTGTGTGTGTGTGTGTGTGTGTGTGTGTGTGTGTGTGTGTACTATGTACATGCATTTCCCACAGAGGCCTGAAGAGGTCGTTGAGTCTTCTGGAACTGAAGTTATAGGTGATTATGAGGGACCCTGTGGGTACTGAGAGCCAAACTCAGTTCCTCTGAAAGAGCAAAAAGTAATTTTCACTGCTGAACCATCTCTCCAGTTCCTGGAAAATTTAAATCTTATATTAAAAAATTCAATAGCACAAATTCAAACTGCTTAATTTGAAAATGAGTAGCAGTCCAAATAGATAATTCCTGAAAGAAAGTGTACAAAGGGTGGAGAGGTACATGAAAAAGTATTGGTGAGATACAAATCAAAATTACAATCACATGCCATCTTATTTAAGATAATAATGACTATTGTCCAAAAGATAACAAAAGTACTCTTCAGCTTGTGGCCAAAAGGGAACCCTGGAACACTATTGGCTAGCATGTGAATTAGCTCAGCCGTCATAGAAGACAGTATGGAGATTCCTCATCACAGTAAAAAACGAGAAGTAGCACATGATTTAGCAGTCCCACAGCAATGTATAGATAGACAAAGGAAATGAAATCAATATGTCAAAGAGACAGCTGCACTCCCATGCCTGTGTCTGCTCAATTCATAATGGCCAAGAAATGGAAACAACCCGTGTGTGTCAGCTGATGAATGGATGTAGAAAATGCAGGGCATATACACAATAGAATACTAACCAGCCATAAAAGGAATGAAATCCTGTCGTTTTCAGAAAGACATATGGAAATGGAAATCACTCTACGGCGTGAAATGAGTCAAACACAGACAAGTGCTGTGTGAAACCATGTGCTTGCAAAACCTAAAAAAGTTTGTCTTGTAAAAGTTGACAGTTGGATAGTGGCCATTGCAGGCTGGGATTAATGGTTTGGGATCAGTGGAAATCTAATGAACGCCTACTAGTCTACAAAACCTCCAGTGTGTTATCTCATCTGAGAGTGACTGCAAACAATAATAGCATAGAATATGTTCCAAAGAGGAGAAGACAGAATTTTGAAATGGTCCATCAGAAAGAAATGCTAGAAGTTTGAGGAGACAGAAATATGTGTTCTGATAACATACTATGCAATGTATACATGTTACTAAACATTATGTAACAGTTGCAATTTTTATTTTCTTAAATGTGAATTTAACTTTTTAGATATATTTTATATTAAAATAAGGAGAAGCCAGGGAAAGTGATTTTCTTGTAGAAAAATGAGGGAGAAACTGCATCTCTCTCTTTCATTTGCATTCCATTGGCAAGAGCATTCCCCATGGATGTGTTGGCATAACACTGAGGTTAAGTTGGGACTTACCACCATTGGCTGGGCACTCTGTGTCCCGGGAGCAGGGTGGACAAAGGACAGACACTAGCATTCTTTCACAAGTAGGGGTTTCGTCTCCTGACACCTGATCATATAATTTTCTTTTCTTCAGTTTGGCTTTTTTTTCTGTTGATTGATAAAGATGAATTAATGGTTAGTGAGAGTCTTGGCTGTCTGAAACAAAATATATATTCTGGAATTTTATATTTATACAATGAATTTGATAACTTAACGTGTGTTATTGTAGATGCCTAAATAAAGCTACTTTAAAGTATTCTAAGGGAGTTTTATTTAAATATCACATTTTTGTAAATCCAGTTTTCCTTTATAAATAATTAACACCTATTCTGTGTCATTTCTTACTGAAATATGAAATCCCACCCATTGATTTTATTAAAAATTAGATAGATATATATATTATATTGACTTCCTAAAATTCCTGGGGCTATGGGAAGTTCTTTAGGCAAATGTAAATTCCTTAAAATTAAAACTTAGAAGAATCTGCGTCTTAGACCCAATTGTGGCTACAGGAGAGTCAGAATTGATATGACCTTGTGGGAATTCTCTTGATCAATGAGTTTCAATGTTCTCTGCTGTCTGTGTGATATTATTTGTGATGCCTACGTGGAGATTGTTCTAAAGATTAAGCAAAGTACCTTTAGAAAATGCAAAGCTTATGTCATTGCTAGGAATTAGAAATGCTAATAGTATTTCAAAAGCACATATAGATATGACTAGAATTAACTTAATATTGTTTCCAGTTCCTTTTACATAGTCAGCCTACCTCTGTTTCAAGCTCTGGTCTTTCACAATCACTATCATCTGTGTGTGTGTGTGTGTGTGTGTGTGTGTGTGTGTGTGTGTGTGTGCGTGCTCATACACACAGACATGTGAGTGGGTGTGGTTAGAATAGCAAGCATGTGCCCAACCACAGTTATGTGAGTCAGGGCTTTTCTGAGACTTGTGTCTATTTCGAGTTGTTCTCTTCCTCATGGCAACACCAGGAGGCTGGCTTTCCAGCCCAGGGCCAAGGGTTTTGGGAGAAGGAATCAGTTCAAGTTGTGCTTCAGAGTTTCTTTCTGTCAGTGTTCAGAACAGCGCAGGTTGTGTTCATCCCTGTCAGCACTGGAACTTTATCTCCTCCAACTCTGCATCCTGTCTGACCCTCAGGCTGATGCGATTACTTGGGCAAGATTGCATGGCTGAGACCCCTGCAAGCCCAGCCTATCGGTACTTCACCAGAGCAGCTTTGCACATGCCATGGGGCCATCCTCAGGCTTGGCCAAGAAGAATAAGACAGGGGTGTGAGGAGGAAAGTCTCAGGATGGTCTAGGGTTTGACTTTAGCTTTATTAGAGTTTTGATAACACCCTGAAGAAAGGATGCTTCTAGCAAGATTACAGAACTCATTATTTTCTTTGAACAAGTGAAGTTTAACTTTAAAAACAGCTTCCTGGTGGTTAATTTTCACTCTGCAACCCAAAGCTGTAGCTGATTGGAATGGAGCTGCGGAAAAAGGAAATGAGCTGAGGGGAGAAAGGTGGAAGAATTAGATGGATTCCAGAATCCTTCCTTGATCCTACGCAGGGTGAAGTTAACTTTAATTTCTGTCGTGAGCAGATGCAGCTGGTGCATGCCAGGATACTCGAGTTGCTGCACTGTGGCAGAGTCTGAGACAGGTGAGGTCCTGCTCTCATGGAGTCTAAATTAAGATGCTGGAAGATTGAAAAGATGTGCAGATCAAGTAACAAAGAGACACGCAATAATTGTAAGTAAATAGGAATGTGCCCAGTGGTAGTAAATGCCATGAAAATATTTTAAAGATAGTGGCGTGTAAACCATTGTTAGTCATTAAAGTCCTTTTGGACAACACAGCATGTAACAGCAATCAGCTGTCTCTTTCCCAATTCCCATGTTGAAATATCAATCCCCAATGTGAGACTACTAGTGGATAGATATTTGAGGGGTCATTAGATCATGAGGGCAGAGTCCTCAGGGATGGAATTGGCGCCAGTTATGAGAAGCAGCAGAGAGCAGTCTAGCCTCTCACACTGAGTGTTGGTTCAGTGATACAAAACCATCCAGGACAAATTGGATCCTCACCTGATGTCAGATACCCTGATTGTGAGTTTCCAAGCTTCAGAACTGTGAAGACTAAGTTCCTACAGTTTACCGGTTTATATGGCATTATCTCACGGCAGTCCAAATGAGCTCAGACATAAGCTGAGATCTTAGTGAGAAACGAGCTGCATGAGCTAAGCAGCAAGAGAAAATCGAGTCAAAGGCTCAAAAATGACTCAAAACCAGGTCCCAGTGGACACGGGAAAGGGGCAGGTTACCTGGAGTGTGATAAATAAGAACAGAGAGCTGGGAAGTATACAAGGTAGCTAGAGCCAGATCACACACACCTCCAGCAGGCAGGGCAAGGAGCCTAGATTACTAGAGGAAGGTCTTAGTCCAGAAATGAGCCCATTTGAGGAGCTTTTGGGACATCGGAAAAGCCATGGCTGTTGGAATCAGGAAACTATAAGATTTGAGAAGTCTGTGTGGGTTGGTTCATGAACCAACTGTTTGAGAGTAGCAGAAATGAAGAGAAAGGAACCATTACAGAAACAGTGACCAACGGGGAGAAGAGAGAAGCAGGCGTGACTGATTCCGTGAAGGTCTCAGTTGACCGGAGGAAGACTCTCCAGCACAGTGAAACAGACAGATCTTGCTGATGGAGACTGAGTAGGGTTACTGTGGCTCAATACAAACCCGAGTACCCGGTACTCAGTTATGCCCCCAGCATCCCATGGTGCAGACTTGGAACAGCAAGCCAGCTCCAGAACGCACATATACAAACCTTATACAAGTCTTAGTTCCATGGGCAAATCCTCACCAGTGTGAGACCAAGTCGGCAAGCGTTCTGGAGGACGGGGTAGCTACACTGTGCTGGGACACATTAGGAGTAGCAACCTGGGTGGACAGAATCGTGCCTTTGATGGTTGAGGATCAAATCAGTGCCCTGTGCCTTTGGATCTGGGTACTGCTTAAACTGAGTCTTTAGTGTTAATGTAAACAGAGTGCTGACTAGGAACAAAGAGGGACGTTCACTGCAGCTAGAACTCGATTGGGCATTCTACAGGCTGGTGTGCCCTGGGTTAAGAAAAGATGAACTGAAGTTTCTGTGCCAACGCCACCCCAGAACAGCATCAAGTGTCCATGCTCCAACAGCAGTGCCATGTCTAATTGCATGGTCTTTAATTTTGATTACAAGTAAAGCACCTCTATGTAGTCCCAAAGTCCATATGCTTCATCGCAGATCACACTGTCTGCTAAGTAAAGGGTGCAATTTTACTCATTGCAGTAAAATTGATCCATAATTATGAGCTAAAATGAAGCATATTTCAAGGAGATGCAAGAAAAATTCCATAGCAATGTACATAGTTGCTGACTATAGGTAGATCATGACTGGCCAGCATATGTAGTATTTCCTATAACAAGCTAACACCATGGTTGTTTTATTAGAAGTACTCACTTTTTGGTGCCTTTCTGTGCTCTGGGCATAGTGCAGAACACATTTTACATGTTCTCATTCCCCTCGGCTCTGGCCCTATTTGTGTGTTTGGTAATGTCCCCGAGGAGTTGAAGGGCGTCAGGGGCCATGTGCTCTGCTCTGTGTCATCTGGCTTGCCCAGCTTTCCCACTGCCATATCATGCAGGAACTCATTTGAATCCGTTGCTTTTCCTGAAGAACCAAGGCAACAACAAATTACCTAAACTAACCGCGTGATCCACAGATATTCAGACAATCACACCCTAATGGAAAGAGAGATTCAGGGGGCTGCTCTAGGCCACACAACTGCTGTCTGTTATACATAGTGAAGCCAGACCCTGACCCATCTTCTATCACCCTCACTTTCTCCAAGACAGAGCTTTGCGTGAGAGCAAGAGCCAGTGTGTGTTCAGGGTTAGGACAACTCCATGTCGGTTCTCCTTGGCCAGCACATTTCCAAACAGTCAATGAATGGGATGGAGTAAGAAATGACTCCTGTAAATGGTGCATAGTGTTTTTAAATGGCCAGGGTGCGAGGAACTGTGGAAAGATCGTCGAAACAAAAACACTGTGGCTTCAGAACGAATAAACACCACCTGGAGGAAACAGAGCCTCCCTTCTCAGGCAGCCTCGCCTGTGGCAGCATTCGCCCCAGCTTAGGAATTCGTATACCACTCTCTGCTTCCCACTTCTGCTCAAGTATGTCTCCTTCATCCCCCCCATCTACTCACATCCTGACCCTCAGCTCAGGACACCAGCAGCAGGCAGGATGGAGCTTTGAAGAAGATGCTAGGATGACCTTCCTTGACTTTCTGAGGTGGGTTTTACTTTAATGTGGAAATAGTAATGAGCATGATAGCTCACCTGAGAGAGAGAGAATGTGTGTGTGTGTGTGTGTGTGTGTGTGTGTGTGTGTGTGTGTGTGTGTGTGTTGACAGGAAGGGTGATCATAATAATGGCTGAACCAGAGATCTGGTCTTTCCTGACCCACTGATAAAATTTCTTGGATTGAATAGAAGCAATCTCTTCTATCATGATTGGAGCCAGCCACAGAAAAATCTCTGGTGAGACTAAAAAACCTGACGAAACATAAAAGAGGCATTGATTCAAAGTAGGTGTTGGAACTGCCCTGGGAACAAGGAAATATGCAAGGTTTGGTGAAGCAGTAGTGTCTTCTGAGAGGAAGAAGCAAAGGAATAATTAACAGACCCAGAGCTGGCTGCCACACACCAGTGTCGCAGCCACCAGAGAGACTAAGGCAGAGGGGAGGGTCAACTAAACTCGGGATTTCTGGCTAATATGAACAATATAGCAATATCCCATCTTGGGAAAAATAAAATAAAAAGAGCCCAACCAAAATGGGCTGTGAAGCTAACACATTCTTACTGAAGAGGGAGGGTCTCAATGCTCACTTTTATATTATTTACTGATAAACTAGATATCCATCACTAAGCCCAGGAATTTAACTGAAGTATTCGCTCACTATATTACACCCACCACCATGCCTGCTGAATTATTCCTCAGTGGTCTTCTGTCTAAGGTGCTACTGAGGAGCCCAGAGCAACAAGCATGGCTACCATGATGATATTAAGGCTGGCAGGGGAAGATGGAGAGAGGATGGATAAACCCCAAGAACTAGCTGCACTCTGTGGTGGGGCTTAGAGAACAAAGACCTTCATAGGTTGGAGTTCTCTGTGCCTTATGTGCTCGCTAACTAGGGGAAGGAAATTGTCCCCATGTGGTAGTTTCATAAGCAGATCCAGGGTGTTGATGGCTTGACTCAGAGAGTGACTCACACCCCACTCCACCCAGGAATGAAGCCACAAAGGAATCTTTCAGAACACAGGTGTGAGTCATGCTGGGGCATTGACCCATACTGTGATGTCACCGCTACAGCCTGTTATGGGGCCACCAAGTGACTGCAAAAGTAGTGGTTACATCTGCATTCAATTGAGTTCTATTATATTAATCATAGCAAGGCTAATATCTGCTACTTGCATTTTAGACAGCCAGAAATCTTGAAAATGAGTGTGAGAGGTTTTGGTAATAAGGCTTTGATAATAGAAAGGCGGTTGGATTAAATTTTGTGTAGCATGTATTTGTGGATACCAGCATATCTTATGAGGATTCTCCAAGGTAGCAATTCCATTTAAAAATTATAGCAGCAAATATCCTTTTAGAAAGCATCTTATAGTTAGTCACAATATATCTACACATACATATACACCACATATGTTTAAATATACAAAACTGTCCAGTAGGGTGTATTTTTAAATAGTAAACATCCACCAGTAGTGACCAGTTGTTGGGTATTATTTAATTAGATTATACACTACATAATGAGATGTTATGGAACTTCGAATAGGTAAAAAGGTATAAATATATAAATGAATATATATATATATATAAGAATGAATATTATACAGGTATAAAATGAGTGAAAAACAATGAATACAATTAATGAAAGAAAGCAGTGTGTTACAAATAACTATATAGTTGGATGATTTGATGCTTTAAAGGAAAATGGCCTCATAGGTTAATATATTTGTAATTAACTCCCATGTTGGTGAAAATAGTTGGGAAGGATAGGAAGGTGTGGCCTTGTTGGTGAAGATGTGTCACTTTGAGATTTCAAGAAGCTCAAGCCAATCCCAGAGCACTCTCCTCTCTCTCTCTCTCTCTCTCTCTCTCTCTCTCTCTCTCTCTCTCTCTCTCTCTCTCTCTCTCTCTCCCTCCCTCCCTCTCTCTCTCTCTCTGTCTGTCTCTCTCTCTGTTTGTCTCTCTGTCTGTCTCTCTCATGGCTGTGGATCAAGGTATGAGCACTCCTGTATTTCTTTGCTCTACCATAATGAACTCTAACCCTCTATAATACTAAACTAAATTAAGTGCTTCCTTTTGTAAATTGCCTTGGTCATAGTATTTTATCACAGCAATAGAAACTAAGGCAAACACTTTGCGTGAAAAAGAACACTTGGGCTGAAGGGTGACTCAGTGAGTAAAGGTACCTGCCACCAAGCATGATGATCACAGTTTAATACACAGGAACAACATGGTAAAAACATAGAGCAGACTTCTACAAGATTTCCTCTGACCTCCACACCCAGACAGAATTTGGAAAGTTGGGGGAAACAGCTGTAGTTATGTTGGATATTGCAGAGGGACTCATGGGCTCATGGAGACGGAGTGGCAAAAGAAAGAATTGGTTTCTTAAAGTTAACCTCTTTTTTTTGGTTAATGTGTCCTTAAAAATATGTTAAACACTAAAGAAAATGCATAAATACATTCAGTATTCAGAGAGCAAGTCAGTCACCACATCATCGGTTGCTGAAAAACTTCTAAAATGCTTCCAAGTTTCCATGAATAAGGATTCGAGTGCCCTGAAGCAATTTCATTGTTAATGTTTTCAGACGTCCATGTTTTCTCCTCAGCATCATTTTCAAGGGGTTTGGAAGCATTCTCTTCACAGATACTTCCTTTCTTAATTCAGACACTCATTGATCTAATCATAAAGGAAGCCATTAGAGACACCCTGTGCCAGATATTACTCATGCTTGATAAATTGCACACCCAGGGGAATGTGAAAAAGCACATCCATAAAAATAGAATGTAATTCACATTGATTAAAACAGCGTGTGCCAGGCAGCACTTTTATGGAAGATGAGAAGTGGCAATAAGTATCCAGAAACTCAAAAACTGTGTGTAGGTGATGTTGGGTCCCTGTGAGTTTCAATAACTCAGCAAAGTCTTCTTGATTACTTTTTATTTTGTATTAGGTGGCGTGTTGAGAATTAGCAAGAGTACAATACGGTAAAAGAGTAAATGGATCATAATTGCAAAGCAGTGCCCAAAGTGGTAGTATATTACTGTACTCTATCCAAGAGGAGAAGAAGGGAAGAGGCCTCGGAATAAGCACGTGCAAAAAAGCATGTGCCTGTGGAAGGTGTCAGGTTAGGGATAGGCGCGCGTGCTGCTGTCTTGTTTGGAAGGATGCAGGCTTAAATTGCCAGTTCCATTGCACAGCTTCATCTTGGAATCTAATACACATCAATGCTTACTACACTCCATGTTTCAGGCTGGGTGTCTTATTCCTCCACTTTTTTCCCTATGGGCTCTGGGCTCCTTGATTTTCTTCTTTAATTCTAGGTAACTATGTCTTCCTTCTTTCCTTAGGCCAAATGCCTAGAAGGTGTGTGTGTGTGTCTGTAATAATCACGTATGGACATGTGTATGCGTGAGTTCAAACTCCACGTTGTGCACACGTAAGGAGTCTAGAGAAGAGCATTCTCTAACTGAATCTTTTAAGCCAGGGCCTCTCCCAAAGCTGGAACTGTGTGGTGGCTAGACTGGTTGCACAGCAGCCCACTCTGCTCCTACCTTCCATGATCTGTCTCCAGTGCTCGGTCACAGGCACACATGGTCACAGCTGACTTTTTACATGATTGCAGTGATCTGAACTCAGCATCTTCATGATTGCAGAGCAGGCACTTACCCCTGAACCATCTCTCTAACCCCTAGGACTAATATTTATGATAGAACAAACGTTTCTTTGTGTTGTCCCAGGGAGAGCATTTCTCCATCTTTGGTCTGGAAAACAAGAGTATCGTATTATTCTACAAGGGCCAACAAGTATTAATTTAAATAGTTTGTTTTTCACTAAGCTTGTAACAGGGATTAGAACTAAGACTTGTCTGTATACCATATTGAAAGTATCCACCAATACTCCTGGCTCTGCTAAATAGAGCTCTGCACACGCTCCACATCTCAGTCGCATCTAGGCTTCCACCTAGCCCAACCCATCATGACCTCGTACACTTTCACTTCTCAGTCTGTTCTCCACTTAGCGGATCGTGGCCATTTATACTACAAGGCAGATCGCGTAGTTCTCCAGTCTGAAATTGCCAAGGGCCCCCACTTCACTCTGACGACATGTTTACATGTCCTGGCACTTCTGCTGCCTCATCCTGGCCCTGCCCACTCCCTTCCACTTCCCACTACTACTTCTTTGCCCAGTCTGGCTTGCTTCTCCTCCAGCCTCTGTCATATATGCTGGAACACCACCCCCCACACCCACAAGTCTTCAGTTTCGATTCACCTGTCCTTTCCCTTACCCTATGCCATCAAATAGTGATCTCCCCTCTTCTACCCTAACCCTACTCATCTTGTTCTCATTTCGTGCATCACTGTCAAACACATGACATCTTTACTATATAATTTGGTCTGTTATCTGATATCTATAACCCATCCTCATAACATGAGATCCAGAATGGGTTTGTTTGGTTTCTGCTCTGTGTGTCCCCCGAATCTATGAAAGCACTCAGAATAGTGCATGTATTCAATGCATGCTTGTGGAGTATCTGTCTCTCAGTGGTCATTATTAATTGGCTGTAGTTCATGTAGAGGTAAGGTCTTCTGAAATGTCCCCATTTTTATTGACATGTTAGCTGATGTTGTAATTATGCCGTTTTTCTGTAGTGACATTCTGTTAAGATTTCATGGTACAGCTTTACTGTCACAGATAGACGACACCATCTCGCCACAGATATCTGGGTCTCCATTAAGATGTCATGGGTGAAGCTTTCCTGACACAGATAGATGACACCATCTCACCATAGATGTCTGTGTCTCTGCCTCTTACGGTCTTCCCCCCCCCATCTTCTGCAATATTCCCTGAACCTTAGGTGTAAGGGTCACATTGTAGATGTATCACGTGGGGCTTGATAACCCTGCCATTTCTTGTTCTCTGCATTCTGACCAGTTGTGTAATCTGCTGCTGGAGGTAACTTCTGTGACTAGGGGTGGAAGGTATACCTTACAAGGAGAAAGGAGGAGTTCCCACTGCCAGCCCCCTGTGTAATTACCAACTGCATTCTAAATGCTTACCCTTACACTCAAAAACAAGTGAGGAATGTCTTTCTAATGAAGGGAATCAAAGAGGCTCAAAATAGAGACACACCAGGCTCCTGGGTAGGATGATTCAATATTGTTATCATGTCGTTTCTTCCCAAGGTGTTCTATGCACCTTGATCAAAATCCCGGAAAATATTTTGTAAATATTAATAAAATAACTTTAAAGTTTACATGGAGAGGCAATAGACTCTGGATAACCCTACAATACTAAAAGAGGATGAAGTTTGTGGACTGATGGTAGTCAACCTCATAGCTGTGGAGTTTTGACAAAATACTAGGAAAAGAATCAGTAGAATGGAATAGAGGATACAGAAATCAGTTTACAAAAATAGAGTAAACTGATCATCAACAAAGGTGAAAAAATGAAGAATACAATTTTTCAGTGGATGGTGCTGAAATTATCAGACATTCACATGCAAAAATGTTGACATAGATTTACACATGTCATAAAATTAACTTCAGTTGGATTCAAACCCAAATATAAACTACAAAAGTATAAAAGTCTAGCACATGAGAAAAACCAAGTGGCCTTGCATGAGTTGACAAAAATTAAAAACTTCTGTTCTGTCAAAGCATTAAGATAAATAAAAGACATGCCACACACATGCAAAATATGAAACTGATAAACAAATTATAGAAAGAATTCTTACAACTAACTTCAATAAAAAAATTAAACAGCAGGTAAAAGATCTGAACAGATAATCATAAGAGGCAATGCACAAGTTACAAATAAGATATGGGAAAATACTCGATTGATTTAATCAGATAATTGCAAATGTAAGAGAGACTATACAGCTATTAGGGTAGTTAAAAACCCAAAAACACTGAAAACTCCAAGTGCTGTTAAGGACATAGGCCAACAAAAGCACTTTTTCATTGCTGGTGAAAATGCAAAATAGTACCGTCACTTTGAAAGACATTTTGAAAGTCTCTTGTAAAACTAAAATAATCAGCATATGATACAAGTTCCTTGTTACTTTTTGAAATGAGTTGACATTTATATCCATAATAGCTTTATTTGTACCAACCAAACTGTGTAAGCAAAATGATGACCTTCAATGGGTGAACGGATACAGTGGAATAATATTTAGTGACAAGAATAAATAAGCTGTCAGTCAGGCCACCAAATGAAATTAGAGAGCCTTAATATTTCTTTTTGGCAAATGAAAAAAAT